CAAGATTTTGGTGCGACCAAACTCGCATTTCTCCAGATTGATCTTATACTGGTGCTGTCTTAGGAGATCTAGCACGGTTCGTACGTGGTCCGCATGCTCCTCAACAGTCTTACTAAAGATAAGTATATCGTCGAGGTACACGACAATAAACTTATCTAAGTACTCGTGAAAAATCCGGTTCATCGCGTGCTGGAATGTACCAGGGGTATTGCATAGACCAAAAGGCATCACTACAAACTCGTACAGACCGTACCTGGTCTGAAAAGCGGTTTTGTGTTGATCCTCAGGTATAATCTCAATTTGATGGTATCCGGACTTCAGATCTATCTTTGTGAAGTATCGGCATCCCTGCACTCTATCCAAGAGGTCGTCAATGCGGGGTAGGGGCTCCGCGTTCTTAACGGTGATGGCATTGAGGCCCCTATAATCAATGCACATCCTAAGGGTACCCCCCTTCTTTGGTACAAATAGCACTGGTGCGCCATAGGGAGATGTACTAGGCCGAATCCAGCCCTTCTCTGTGAGCTCTTTGAGCTGGCGGCGAAGCTCATCTAACGCCGCAGGAGACATCCTATAGATTCTTCCTCTAGGTACCTTACTACCTGGGATGACTTCTATAGCGTGGACAACCTCCCTTTCTACCAAGCCACTGGGCTCCTCAAAAAGGTCTGGATACTTTGCGACGACTGCTTCTATCTCTGCGGGTGATTTAACGGCCTCCCCTTTCTCAGAGATAAAGACTAGGTACATGCCCTCCTCCCGATTCTGCTTGTAGTAGTTATAGAAAGAGGTAGCGCACATACAGCCGTAGTTCTCCACTAGTCTGCTTGCCTTATGTTTTTGCAGTCTAACGGTCCTACCACTTGGCAATCTGTGCAACAACACCTTCCTATCCCAATCAAATTGTGGTTGCGCAGCCTCGAGATAGTGCATGCCTAGTAGCATATCGAATGGCAGCTCATCGCTAACTAGGAATGAGATTTTGTGTCTCATCTCCCCTCCTGGGTAGGAGAATGTACAAACTAGGTCCTTGACATAGTCCTTTACTACCATTTTGTGCTTGTTGGCTAGCGTAGAAGCTACAACCTTGCTAAGCCGCTGCACTTGGTCCTCTAAGCACACACTTTCCACACAAGCACGACTGATGAAATTCCATGTAGAGCCTATGTCTACGAAAGTGCCAACTTTACGGCCACCTACATCTACTTCTACCACGAAATGTTCACCCCTATGACCTCTACTAATCATCGCCCAAGAGTCTCGAGGGTCTATCCCTGACCATTCCGCCTCTAACTCTCCTAAGGACTCAGACACATCTCTCGAACAGAGCATCGGTGGGTCTGAATGTGTTTGCAGGGCGATATCTGGGTCAATAGCCTGGGCCGTCGCCCGAAGGGGAGAAGGTAACGTACCCTTTTCGGCGCGAGTAAGAGCGGCTAAAACTCCTACTGGCCTGAGGTGTTTCCCTGAGAGCTACTCGCAGACGTACTCCCAAGGTTCGAAGACAAGCCCACCACCATTGGGTTGGCCACCTTCGCAGTCACCTTCTTGCCTCTACACGTTCTATTAGTGTGGCCAAAGTTGCCACAGTTCATACACGTGCCTCGTGCCACTCGGTCCCTCCACACCTCACAATCTAAACCAAGTTTGACCCATGTTGGGGTCCCTTGGTCGCCTTGACCCGTGGACCGGCCTACCTTCTTCTTCCTGGTCCCCTTAGTCTTTTCCTTGATCGGGGCTATGACTCCCCCATCCGAAGTCTCACTAACCCCATCGTGCTCTGTGTCCTCCCCAAGATCTGGGAAGTCGTCAATCTCAATAGCTTGACCGTCATGGTCAACAAACATGAGTTGACCTTTCTTCTTCCAATCCTGGGGCAGTTTCTTTTTCCTACCATCTGCTGGCGTTTGCTGAGCAGATCCCAAATTAGCCTCTAAGTCTAAGGCCTTCTTGCTGAAAGAGGCAAAGTCATGTTGGTCTATGTAGGCCTCGTCCGCCAGTTTGTTCCGGACGTCTGTAGGCAGACATCTCAGATAGTCTGTGAGGAGTACCTGGGGATTGTACTGCACGCCAGGTATCACAATCAGTTTCTCCACGAGGTCTGTAACTTCGCGAACATTCCTGTAGCGTTTAGCTGTCACGTTGTCGATCGAGTTTGTGGCCTTCTGAGCCCCTTACGGGTCTCGCCACCTGTTGTATACAGTCCGCACAAATTCTTCCAATGACAGAGACTGAGCCCAGCCATCGAAGTCCTGATTGTAGCCTGCTTGTTGTACTAATCCTCCTAACCACTTTGCTGCTGATCCCTCTAAAAAGGATGCAGCAACAATGACTTCCTCTTCCTGGTTGAACAGCGTGTCTAAAGGTGTGCAATCCGGTCCCACCCCTGTGCCACAGGTTATTGTCGAGCAAGGCAGCCACATCACTCTTATTTACCCTCGTACGCCGACGAGCCTTGCACTCGGTTGATCTGGCTGATCAGGAGGAATTTATAGAGCGCCCCCATCTCTTCAGGAATTATTTAACGCCGCAGTCAGGACGAGGATCACAGCTAGATTCAGATCCGAGTCCCCAACCAGAAATGTTTATAGACGGTCTGGTAAGCGTCTCAAGAGGCTGCCACACCCGAGTTAACCTCTATCATGCGCAAGCAGCAGAACCAAAGACTTGCAGTGAAGCATGCGTGTACTAGTCCCAGCGGGTTGGCATGGTGACCATAACCCGAGTGCTTCGCCCAGGGCCCTTCAGGAGCATCGCCCGTCTCCCACCAGCTTGCTGCCCAGGAAGAATGTCAACTCTCAAGGTTGAGCGCTCGAGACACCTCACATTGAGAGGACTCTCAAGACAGAACTCGCTTCCTCACGGTAAGAAGAGATAAGGAGGGTAGATAAGGTAAGGAGCAACGTACCTCTTAATGTTGCCCCCAACCACAGATTATCTCACCAGCAATCTGACATGTATTTCTGATGACCGGTCGTTGCCTCGGCACAACACACAACGCAGTGCAGTTCCACCTCGGCTATAAATAGCCACGTCAGCAGTTCTCATCACCCACGTACATCCCCAATATCACCACATAGCATTACCGACGCGCCCACCTCACTGGGCCGCCTACAACTCCCCTCGCCACCACCTTCCTTACTGCCCCACACAACAGCGGAGCACCAATCAGCGGCGCGAGAGGTGAATGAGCGCCAATCGAACCGGCTCCGATACCAAATTGCAAGAGATTTGAGCGATAGCGAGATGACAAAATCCAAATCACATTCCCACATTGAAAGCATGGAGTCACATTGAGTCTGTACAGCAGCAATGCGCCAGTAATACACCAAT